ATATTCTCTGCATTTCTGCTACCCTAATTAGGTAAACCCAAGTTAGTCCTGACTCTTCCAGTGCTAACAGACCTATGCTAATAATGTTCCTTATAAAACTGCAATTGTGTTACAAGAAGATTCAGCTGGGACTAGGATGTCATATCACCTATAATCAGAAGCAGCAAGATGCTCATTTTTTAATCAAGTGGATGACAAGAATATGGAATTTGTTCTATATGATTAATCTTGTCAGTTCAGAGAAAATTTCTTGCAAGTTTTAAAAATGGTATTCAATTCAGTCATTATTTGTAATTTTTTTTAACAGTAAGGGTCAAAACAAAAGAAAAATATGTTGTACTGGGGGGAAAAGTCAGTTTCTGTAGTTAATCATTTTGTTATTATAGTAATTTGTATCTATTATGAAAAAGTTATATTGTTCACTGATGACAACTATGTATAATAGCTTTAATTATTTTATTTAATGGTTTGCCTCTTTCAGTATTCAGATCTGTGTAATTACAATATATATTTAAAATAAATAGCAGTTTAAAAAAAGATAATTGCCATCAGCTGGTAGGCAGAATGAAGGAATGAAAGCAGGTTATGATGACTACTTGAAATTCTGACATTAGGTTTTCTAGCTTGTTTCAATAAGTCATTGCTCAGAATAAGTCATTATCTCAAAAACTAAACATACTGAACTTAAAAATGAGAGGTTCATGCCAGTATTGCTACAGCAGCAACTTGTCACTGCCATTGTCATTTTTGCTATAACAGATTAGTACTAAACTTAAATAGAGTTGAGTCAATTCTTCAACACGCTTGGCTGCAGAGATTTCTAATCCCAGGGAAGCAAAATTAATCCTCTAGTGTTTTCCAAGTCCTTTAAGGCCTAGAAGTTTCAATAAGGGATCTAAATTATATGATTCAAGCAATTATTACTCCTGAACTATTTTGGAGAGGGACAATAATAGTGCATTTCAAACCTGTGCACTTTCAATTCCACTTATGTAGGTCTCTTTTCCAAATGGCATTAAAAACCATGTTCACCCATAGTACAACTGACTATGCAATTAAAGATCCAGAATACTATATAAACCAGCTAGTCCAGACATTACTGGGCAAGAGAATGGCAGATGAACCCAAAGCTGCACCAAACAATTATGAAAGTGTTACTCATCCCTGGTCAACCATGTTATACAAACCCCAAACCAATAAGCCATTGGGCAGGGTTTAAGATCTTACAATCGATTCTCTAAGGAGATGAGGTAAAAATGTACAATGGGCAAAATCATTAGGATGATTCTTACAAAGTTCTATATAAAGAAATGGCAGCTTAGAACATGCTGTTCAAACAGACGAGTTGGAGTTTCAGCAATGACATCTACAGTTTTCTGCCTAAACAAAAAAGAAATAATAAAATCTAGCTAGCAGTGCCATGTAAATAGATATAACTACACAGTAAATGAAGGTTATATTCTCCCAAATAGTGACCCTTGATTGAGTAAATGTGGATATAAAATGAAGCAATAAGGACATATAATCTGATTGGTGGCTAGTTGATGTTGGCATGTTATGTTAATCAGGATCTAATCATAAATATGTCATTAAATAGTATGAATATAAAATTATAGCTTTCTGCTGTAGTTATTTTGATGATGCAAATAATATTACAGTTTTAGTCTCAATGGGAAGCTAATCCCATTGAGACTAATCTGCGTTTGGCGGTTATTTTCTTTTATAAAATCTTTGCATCAAATTAATTTTCTAGTTAAAATGGTTAAGCAAACAAGTTTCCAAAAATTATAGATGTAAGGACTAGAGATATAAGACAGTGAGGTAGATTGATTCATTCTGTAAACTTATATCAACTATGTCCATCAAGCATTCCACAAGTTTCAGAAGGGAAGAAGAAACAAGCTTAGAGATGAAACTGAGGATCATCAAAAGACAAATAGCAATAGCAATAGCAGTTAGACTTATATACCACTTCATAGGGCTTTCAACCCTCTCTAAGCGGTTTACAGAGTCAGCATATCGCCCCCACA